TGTTCCCATGGACATCAATTCGGCTGAAAAGTCGAAATCGAAGGGTGAAGGCAAAGGCAAGGCAAAGGACGCTGAGGCCGCCTCGACAGAGGCAAAGAAGTATTGCGTCATCTACAAGTCAAAGACTCATAAGACGGATGATTGCTACAAGTTGGCCAAAATGCGGACAAGCAGCCAAATACCCAAGGGGATGGCGCTAAGAAGGCACAAGGAGGAAGCAGTAACCCCACGGCCAAGAAGGCTAAGAAAACGCGGGTTATTCAAGTCGAGCTTACGGATAGCGAGGACGACACACCCCCATCCGCGAAAGCCATGAGCGCCAACACTGCGAGAATTGAGGAGACTGTGGAAGTCAAAGAATCAACTCTGGCTGGGAAGGATGAACCCCAGCTATCTGCAAAGACAGAACCCATCGCAGCTACCTCGGATTTTTGAAAGAAGTACATGTGATATGAGGGCCGGTGCATTTACAACATTGCGCGCCGGTTCCCATGACATATGTGAGTTGTCATAACCCTTCCACTTGACGAGGTACTGCAGCTGACGCTGGAAGATCCTCGAATCTTTGATCCGCTCAACCTTGTACTCCTCATCGCCTTCAACCTCGATGGCAGGTGGCTCCTCCGGCTCCTGGCCCAGGATCTCGCTATGCGTGTACTTGCTAAGCAAGGAGACGTGGAACACCAGGTGCACAGGCACCGACTTTGGCAGAACCAATTTATAATCTAAGTCTCCAAGCTTTCGCCGCACGGCATATGATCCGAGGTGCTTGGGACTAAGCTTCTTGCTCGGCTGTTTCAGCTTAAGGTTCTGAGCATCAAGCCAGACCTTATCCCCTGGAGCAAAGACCGATGCCTCCTGCACGTGCTTATCGTAGTACACCTTCATTTGTTCAGCTGATAGCTCCAGTGCGGAGCGCGTATCATTGCGGATCTCCTTCAGGATTCGAAGCTGATCTGCAGCCGCAGGCATCGTGGACATCGCATTGATCCGCACTTGGATCTCAGGGTGATAAGCCTGATTCAGGAAGAAAGGGGAGTGCCCGGTTGCCGAGTGAACCCGATTGTTCAATGCAAACTCGGCAAGCGGCAACTGTTTCACCCAATCATCCTGCCTGTGGCTTGTGAAAGCACACAGGTACTGCTCGATCTCCTGATTCCAGTGCTCGGTCTGGCCATCTGTCTGAGGATGGAACACTGTGGACAGCGCCGGCTCGATCCCTAGTTCCTTGTATACCGCATGGAGGTACTTTGATGTGAACTGGGGACCTCGGTCTGATATGATCTTGGCCGGGGCCCCATGGTGTTTGAACACATCACGGATATACAGGTCTGCTGCACCTTCTGCCGTCAGGGTCTCATGACAGGCGGAAAAGTGGACCTGCTTGGTAAAGCGGTCGGCGGTAACTAGGATCGAGTTGAATCCATCAGACTTCGGCAGGCCAATGATCATATCGGTGGTGATGATCTGCCATGGGCGCTCGGGGATCTCATTCGGCTTCAGCGGACCCAGGGGCTTGGCTGGGAATGTCTTGGTATGGTTGCACATGTCGCAGGTGCTTATGTACTCATTGACAAATTTGGACATCCCTGGCCACCAGTAATTCCGTGACATGAGCTCGAGGGTTTTGGCACGACCGCCATGACCGGCGATCAGCGAGTTGTGGTGGATCTTGACAATATCCTGCCAGAGCTCCGCATTCTTTGGGATGTAGACACACCCGCGGAACAGCAGAAGCCCTTGTTCGGCATTCCACTCTTCAAAGCCCTTCTGTAGCCAAGGCGGCCCGAGGTTCTGCACCTTTTCATGTGCCTTGGCCACTACCCGATCCTTCTCTGAACAGTCCCGGATGCACTTTAGAAGTGACTAATTGGCTGTCACCAAGGTGTGCTCACGCTGTGTGGAGGCGATGCAGAAGCGCTCCTGTTTGAGGACAATCTGATCGGTGTTGTCATCCTCATTGCCAACCTGATGGTCTGATCAGCGTGACAGGGCATCAGCCTTTCCATTCGATGTTCTGGCTTTATGTGTGATGTGGAAATCAAAGCAGGCAAAGAACAGCGACCATCATGCTTGATGACATGTGAGATGCTGTGACGTGCACCAGTACTCGAGGTTCTTATGATCGGTTACAATCTTGACCTGATTAGGCAAGCCCTCAAGGTAGTGGCACCACTCGTCTAGCGCTTTGATGATTGCAAGCATCTCCTTATCATAGATCTCGTAATTACGCTGGGCAGGGTCCATAGCGTGAGATCGGAAGGCGACTGGGTGCCATTTGCTGTCATCCTGCTTCTGCATCAGCACACCACCGGTGGCATACCCAGAGGCATCAACCTCTATGCACGTCTCGCGGGTGGGGTCATATAATGCCAGCACAGGGGTTGTGCTGAAGAGCCATTTGAGCTCATCAAAGGTGTGCTGCTCCTCATCGCCCCAGTGCCAGGGTCGTTCCCTGTGAGTCGGTCGAGTGGTCGCGAGATCTTAGCGAAGTCCTTAATGAAGTGGCAGTAAAAGTTGGAAAACCCCCAGAACTTCTGAACATCCTTTTTGTTCCAGGGTACCAGCCACTCATTAATTCCCTTTAGCTTCGCAGGATCCATTGCCACCTCATCGCCACTGAACACATAGCCAACATAGTCAACCTTGGGAACATCCCATTCGCACTTCTCAGGCTTCAGGAACAGATTGTTCTCCTGAAGGCGACGAAGAACCTCGCGTGTGACCTTCTTGTGCTCCTCTTTGTTGGTGGAGAAGACAAGGATGTCATCTAGGTACACAAGGACCTTGCCACCGACAATGAGATTGTGGAAAATCTCGTTCATCATTGCCTGGAAGGTCGCGGGGGAATTGGTGAGGCCAAAGAACATCACCAGGGGTTCGTTCAATCCCCGGTTAGTTACAAAGGTGGCCTTCCACTCATCACCAGCTTTGATCCGGACGTTGTTGTATCCCCATCTGACGTCGAACTTTGTGAAGAGCGTAGCACCGCGGAGCTTGTCTACCATTTTGGCGATCAGCGGCAGTGGATAGCAATTTTTGACAGTGATTGCATTCAGTCGGCGATAATCCTGCACGGGTCGAAGTGTCCCTTCCTTCTTTTTGATGAAGAAAAAGGGGGACAAGATGGGTGACTTCAACTCCCGTATGTAGTCTTTGGCCAGCTGCTCCTTTAGGAACTTGTCCAGTTCCTCCTGCTCATTGTTCGACAAGGGATATACCTTTGAATGGAACATCGAGTAGCCAGGCACGAGTTTGATCGCATGATCATACGGCTTTCTTTCAGGTAGCCGTTCTGATGCTTCTTTGGAGAAGACATTCAGGAACTCATGGTACTGCTTTGGTACTGACTCCTCAGTGGTCTTAACAACCTTCTTCTTGATCTCTTCCTCAGCGAACAGCTGGGAGTATGTATGCCCTGCTGCGACAAACAGCTGAGGAGCGCCAGGAAGTGTGACGCCCTGTTCCCAGGCTTCAATCAAGTCAGCCTTAGTCCATTCAATTTCCTCCGGCTCTTCCTCGGGCTCAAAGTCCGGGAGTACCTTACTCTGGCAGGCACCAATTGATACAACGGTCTATACTCCTATATTGATGCCTGACTCGTAGATGACGAGCGAGGGCTTATGAACAGTACGTCGTCCTGAAGATCGAGCAAGGAAGTCGAGAATGACCACTACCCCAAGCAAAGAGGAGCAGAGACTTGAATGAATAACCAGGTCGAACTCAGGGTTCGACCGACTAATAGTACAGCTAGTTATACAAGTACAGGCTACGCACGGACCACTGTATCTGTGTGGTCGTGTTTAGTAGAGAAAGAAACATAGTGGTACGATACCGGGTATGGAGTGCGCATGGACCCCATTATGTAAGCTACATAATGTTCAACCTGCGGGTGAGCACTAAGACAGGCACCAGTATGGGCGCTAGTAGTACAAGGAATAGAACGGAAAGATAAATGTTTCATTGATGACTGATCGTTTGGACTTCGGCGAATGCCTGCACGCCATGGGCCTGACCCCCATATCACGTGTAGTCGCCGCTTGCTCCATTCGGTCAGCTTTCCTAGCCCCGCATGTTTCAGGGCATTGTGACAGCTTGAGGGAGCTGTTCTCACAATCTATTTTGGGGTTGTGCTCTCGCAGCCAATCCAACCCAACGATCACATTCTCTGGACCTATGTCCGTGACCATGAACACCATCTTCTCGATGTGATCTCCTATCTGCATCTGTAGTACGGCTACTTCTGAGATGCTTCCATCTTTGTTGAGCATTCCATCAATATTGTATAGCGGAATTGGCTCCTTCAAGTTCCGCATTCGTACTTGATTCTCCTGGATGAAACACTTGTTGATAAACTTTGTGGTGGCTCCGCTGTCCACCATTGTGACTATGTCCTTGTGTCGTCTTTCTCCCTTGAGGCGCACTGGGATGTGGAAATGCTGGGACCCGTGGTCCAATTTGTACACATTTGCAGTCGCCAATACATTGTACAGATTATTATTACGCGGCCCGACGCGTGTGGCACGAAGCGCGGACCAGATCAAAAAGACTCCTCCTTCATCGCCCGGTAGTGCTCCAACTCCTTGCGCATCGACTTCACCTGTGCCATCAAGGCCGCCAGCATCTCAGATTTCTCTGGACTCGCTGAAGTAGCACTTGTACTTGCCGAGGGTGATGTTGTGACAGGGGTGCTTGTTGCGGCCTGGGTGGAACCCGAGGCAACCGTAGCCTGCACATCAGCACACTTGGTGTAAGGCTTGTCCTTACAATTGGGGCACTCAAAGCGACGGTACCCTTGCTTCCCGCAGCCAAAGCAACTGCCAGGGAAGTCTCCTTTTCTGACGGCCGCGTTGATGCTGGCCAAAGCTCCGTGCGATTGGGGTGCACCACCACATGCTCCACCTTGTCCTCCTCCTCGAGCTGAGAAGAAATTGTTCAGCTCAGGCCGACGGGCCCGGCTGATGTCGAGTATTTGTTCGACCTCCGTGGCGTGCTTGTCAGCATCTTCCCACATGGTGAACGTCTCGAGCTCGATCTTGCGGTATATGCGGGAGGGGATGCTGTTTAGGTACTTGTCGCAGAGTGCCAGGTCTCCATACCCGGAACGGTCCGCCGGGCCCTTGAATAGTGCGGAGAATTCCGTGGCGGTGCATTTTTCGCGTACCGACTTGTCAGCACAGAGTTTGGCCAGCTCCACCTGTGCTGCAGCTTCGTCGTCGAGGTTGCCAAAGCGGGCCTTGAGCGTGGTGGCAAAGGCCACCTCGTTTGCGAAGGGGGTCGTGACTCCTTGGACACCTAACTGCACTGATATGAGCTGGGCGAAGAAGGGGGTAGCCCAGGTGCGAGTGTCGCTGTCAAGGAGGCTCAAAGCGACCTGCACCTTGAGCTCGATGGTTGTCAATGACATGTTGACTAACCAGTAGATGCGAAGTTGCGATAGGAACTGATCACATTCAATGACGGTCTTGCCATCATATCGCAGGGGGAGGAGGAGCTTCAACGTCTTCTTGTTAGGAGGGGACGCTGGAGAGGACATTATCAGCAGCGAGGGGGACGGAGGATGGCCTGGGGGTGGAGGCGGTGGTTGTGGCTGTCCGCCGGTCGGACTTCGGGGGGAGTGAGTGCGCGAGCGGCCTCTTGGTGGTGACGGCGGTAGAGGCGCTGGAGGAAGCCCGGAGGTGGTGTTACGTACGTCAGTGACTGCTGACATGGAGGGGAGCACGTCCAGCGATGCAGCCCAACCATGAAGCTCGGGCTCCGAGACTCCTTCTTCACTCGCACTCTCTTCAGACTCTGGCTCTGGTGCAGGGTCTGCAGGGAGATTGGGATCTCCTCCTGCTTGACTTGTATTGGCGACAGTTTGAGGGAGGCGAGAGCTGGGAGAGACAGGGCGGGAGTGTCGGGATGCGGATCGTGATGCGAGGTTACTATGGGGGCCGAGTGGATGTTGGGCCCTTCGGATCGCTTTGTAGTGCAGGTAGTCTTCCTCGATCGATCGGGGTGTCCGATTTGGGCATGGTTGCCTTTCGCAGGCAAAGATGACAGTCAAAGGACCGTCAGTAAGGTGGACGTCGACGAGGTCCTGGGAGTCGAAGGTGTGGGTGAGACCTTGACAGGCAGCCACAATGAATGGAGGGAGGAAGGGGAGGTGCGTGTACTACAAATGGCCGTGCTAGCTAGCTTACACCTACGGTGCCCAAGATAATGCTAGGGTTCACAATTCACATGGGGCCCAGTACTGCTTTTGGCTAGTATGCAGCAGGAACCTAATCCACACATCTGTTTAAGGACAAGCACCGCCCACTGAAGTGCAGGTGCTGAAAGGTTCATTCCCTGAGCGGTGGCGATGTATAGTAGGCTATCTACGTATCGTAGAGTATGGTAGGGGTGCGCACCACCCAACCTATAGGAAATGAAAGTGTGAGTGGAGTTGCGTGTGAATGCTGGCAGTGAGGGGGAGTTTCGACCTAATGTCGTGACTTGGGGTCAAGCGACAAGGGCAAACAAACACGAAGGCTGGGGGCGTTCAACTGGGTCTCACCAAAGCGATGGTGAGCAATGCTCAAACCTAAGGCTAGGGACAAGATCATATATTAGTTAGTAAAGTAAAGAAAGGATACAAAGGAAGGCTTACTGACCTAGGGACAAGAGGTCGAAACTGAGGTCCCTAGGGCAGCAGAGGCCGGCTTATATACAGGAGAAGATAAGGGCAGGCTGTGCGCGCTGGTCCATGCGCAGCTGGTCCGTGCACAGCATGCTGATGCAGCCCCAGGGGCCGGTGAGTCAGAGCGACTGTGTCAGCGGAGCCCAAGCTGTGCCGTGCGCTGCCATCATATCTAATCTAATCTATCTACATGGCAACGTGATGTGCCGGCGAGGCTTGTCCGTTCAAGCACAGAGCGTATAGTACAGAGGTCGCTGTCGCGACTTGAGGTCAAGCGACAGGGGAAAACCTAAAAGCTGGGGGTGTTCGACTGGGTCTCACTGAAGCGATGGTGAGCAGCGCTCAAACCTAAGGCTAGGGACAAGATAATAATATATTAGTGAAGTAAGAAAAGGAATACAAGGGATGCTTACTGACCTAGGGACAAGAGGTCGAAACTGAGGTCCCTAGGGCAGCAGAGGCCGGCTTATATACAGGGGAAGTTTAGGGGAGGCTGTGCGCACTGGTCCATGCGCAGCTGGTCCGTGCACAGCATGCTGATGCAGCCCCAGGGGCCGGTGAGTCAGAGCGACTGTGTCAGCGGGGCCCAAGCTGTGCTGCGCACTGCCGCCCATCTAATCTAATCGTACAGTAGATAGTGATGCGTCCATATCAGGCATGTAGTACAGAGGTCGCGGGTTCGAGCCCGCGAAAAGGAAAAATTAAAAAATGGCTAGACGCCGTACCAACTCATGACATTACCCCCCCCCTCAACGGCGCATGACCTCATGCGAGGCGCCCTTGCCCATCTCCCATCCGGAGCAGCATCGTGCTTCAGTCAGCGGCGAAGGCATTGGCTGAAAGTTGAGACCACCGAATGTAGTGGCATTGAGGCGACGAGGGGCGTTCGGATTCTTCCGGTGGAAGTCGGCTATGAGGGCCGGCGCATTCGCAATGTTGCGCGCCGGTTCCCATGATGTATGCAAGTCGTCATAACCCTTCCACTTGACGAGGTACTGCAGCTGATGCCGGAAGATCCTCGAATCTTTGATCCGCTCAACCTCGTACTCCTCGTCGCCCTCAACCTCAATGGCAGGCGGCTCCTCCGGTTCCCGGCCCGGGATGTCGCTGCGTGTGTACTTGCTAAGCAAGGAGACATGGAACACTGGGTGCACCGGCACCGACTTCGGCAGGACTAGTTCATAATCCAAGTCTCCGAGCTTTCGCCGCATGGCATAAGGCCCGAGGCGCTTGGGACTGAGCTTTTTGCTCGGCTGTTTCAGCTTAAGGTTTCGGGCATCAAGCCAGACCTTGTCCCCCGGCGCGAAGACCGGTGCCTCCTGCACGTGCTTATCGTAGTACACCTTCATCCGCTCAGCTGATAGTTCCAGCGCAGAGCACGCATCATCCCGGATCTCCTTCAGGATTTTAAGCCGATCGGTGGCAGCGGGCATCGCGGACATCGGATTGATCCGAACCTGGATCTCAGGACTGTACCCTTGATGCAGGAAGAAAGGGGAGTGCCCGGTTGCGGAGTGAACTTGGTTGTTCAACGCAAACTCTGCAAGCGGCAATTGCTTTGCCCAATCATCCTGCCTGTGGCTTGTGAAAGCACGCAGGTACTGCTCGATCTCCTGATTCCAGCGCTCGGTCTGACCATCTGTCTGAGGGTGGAATGCTGTAGACAGCGCCGGCTCGATCCCTAGTCCCTTGTACACCGCATGGAGATATCTCGAAGCAAACTGGGGACCTCGGTCCGATATGACCTTAGCCGGGGCCCCATGATGCTTGAACACATCGCGGATGTACAGGCCTGCCACGCCTTCTGCCGTCAGGGTCTCATGACAGGCGGAGAAGTGGACCTGCTTGGTGAAGCGGTCGGCGGTAACCAGGATCGAATCAAATCCATCAGACTTCGGCAAGCCAACAATCATATCGGTCGTGATGATCTGCCATGGGCGCTCGGGGATCTCGTTCGGCTTCAGCGGACCCTGGGGTTTGGCTGGGAATGTCTTGGTACGGTTGCACACGTTGCAGGTGCTTACGTACTCATTGATGAATTTGGACATTCCTGGCCACCAGTAGTTCCGCGATACGAGCTCCAAGGTTTTGGCACGACCGCCATGCCCGGTGATTGGTGAGTCATGGTGGATCTTGACTATATCCCGCCGGAGCTCCGCGTTCTTTGGGACATATACGCATCCGCGGAACAGCAGGAGCCCCTGCTCGGCATTTCACTCCTCAAAGCCCCTTTGCAGCCAGGGTGGCCCGAGGTCCTGCACCTTTTCAAGGGCCTCGGCCACTGCCCGGTCCTTGTCCGAACATTCCCTGATGCGTTTCAAGAGTGACTGATCGGCTGTTACCGAAGCATGCCCACGCTGGGTAGCGGCAATGCGGAAGCGTTCCTGCTTGAGAACCACCTGATCGGTGTTATCGTCTTCATCACCGACCTGATGGTCTGATTGGCGTGACAGGGCATCAGCTTTTCCATTCGATGTCCCGGCTTTGTGCGTGATGCGAAAATCGAAGCGAGCTAGGAACAGCGACCATCGCGCTTGACGACGCGTGAGGTGCTGGGACATACGCCAATACTCGAGGTTCTTGTGATCGGTGACGATCTCGAACTGATTGGGTAGTCCCTCAAGGTAATGGCGCCAGTCGTCTAGTGCTTCGATGATCGCGAGCATTTCCTTATCGTAGATCTCGTAGTTTCGCTGTGCCGGATCCATTGCATGGGATCGGAAGGCTACTGGGTGCCATTTGCCGTCATCCTGCTTCTGCATCAACACGCCTCCGGTGGCGTACCCCGAAGCATCGACTTCGATGCGCGTCTCTCGGTTTGGGTCGTACAATGCCAAGACCGGTGTCGTTGCAAAGAGTCGTTTGAGCTCATCGAAGGCGTGCTGCTCCTCTTCGCCCCAATGCCATGGGTCGTTCCCTGTGAGCCGGTCGAGTGGTCGCGAGATCTTAGCGAAGTCCTTAATGAAGTGGCGGTAGAAGTTGGAAAATCCCCGGAACTTCTGAACATCTTTTTTGTTCCGGGGTACCGGCCACTCATTGATTCCTTTCAGCTTCGCGGGATCCATTGCTACCTCATCGCCACCGAACACATAGCCGACGTAGTCGACTTTGGGAACATCCCATTCGCACTTTTCAGGCTTCAGGAACAGATCGTTATCCTGAAGGCGCCGAAGGACCTCACGCGTGACCTTATCATGCTCCTCCTGATTGGTGGAGAAGATGAGTATGTCATCTAGGTACACGAGGACCTTTCCACCAACGATGAGATCATGGAAGATGTCATTCATCATTGCCTGGAAGGTCGCGGGGGAATTGGTGAGGCCAAAGAACATCACCAGGGGTTCGTATAGTCCCCGGTTAGTCACGAAGGCGGCTTTCCATTCGTCACCGGCTTTGATCCGGATATTGTTATATCCCCATCTGACATCGAACTTGGTGAAGAGCGTGGCACCGCGGAGCTTATCCACCATTTCGGCGATCAGCGGCAAGGGGTAGCGATTCTTGACAGTGATCGCATTCAGCCAGCGGTAATCCTGTACGGGTCGAAGTGTCCCTTCCTTCTTTTTGATGAAGAAGAAGGGGGACGAAATGGGCGACTTTGATTCCCGTATGTACCCTTTAGCCAGTTGCTCTTTTAGGAACTTGTCAAGCTCCTCTTGCTCGTTGTTTGATAGAGGGTACACCTTCGAATGGAAGGTTGAGTAGCCGGGCACGAGTTTGATCGCATGATCGTACGGCTTCCTTTCGGGTAGCCGTTCTGATGCTTCCTTCGAGAAGACCTTCAGAAACTCGTGGTACTGCTTTGGTACCGACTCCTCGGCGGTCTTAACAACCTTCTTTTTGATCTCTTCCTCAGCAAACAGCTGGGAGTATGTATGCCCTGCTGCGACAAACAACTGAGGAGCGCCGGGAAGCGTGATGCCTTGCTCCCAGGCTTCGATCAAATCGGCTTCATCCCACTCTACTTCCGCCAGATCTTCTTCGGGTTCGAAGTCCGGGAGTACCTTACTCCAGCAGGCACCTATGACCGACCGTTTGGACTTCGGCGAATGCCTGTGCGCCGTGGGCCTGACCCCCGTATCACGCGCAGTTGCTGCTTGCTCCATTCGGCCAGTTTTTCTAGCGCTACACGTTTCAGGACATCGTGATAATTTTAGGGAGCCCGATTCCCAATCAATCTCAGGGTTGTGCTCGCGGAGCCAATCCAACCCGACGATCACATCCTCTGGACCTATGTCCGTGACCGTAAACACCATCTTCTCAACGTGATCTCCTATCTGCATCTGTAGCACAGCTACTTCCGAGATGCTTCCGTCTTTGTTGAGTGTTCCATCGATATTGTAAAGCGGAATAGGTTCTTTCAATTTCCGTGTTCATACTCGATTCTCCGTGATGAAGCGCTTGTTGATGAATTTCGTGGTGGCTCCGCTGTCCACCATTGCGATTATATCTCTGTGCCG